AAAACAACAAGAAAAAGTAGAAGTTACTGTGATAAAAAGAGGAAAAACATCTTTCAAGCCTGCCACTGCTAGAACAGAGAATTTTAATAATTAGCTTCTGTTGACCAGGGATACTGGATTTAAAAGGCTGACATATATAATTAACATTTATGTCAGATGTAAAAAATACACAATAGATGAAAACAGTTGGCAGTCAAAATTCAATTGGGAAAGATGAAGAAAACGACTAGTTATAATCAATCAAAACAATGCAATATATTAAAAATATCTTTCAGCATTTGAGTCAGGATACTATAACAGAAGAAATTAAGGCCAGACACAAGAAAACACCAAAGACACCTTCTTGCACTATACTATCTATAACAGAAACTAATTGTTAATCTTCTTATTTGACAACTTTAAAGATATTTTCTGAAAGATTCCCTAATATGACTTTTCAGGTCATGAAACAAACAGTCATAACTACACTTCAATAAATCACAGCTTAAAGAATTCAAACCATAGTTGTTGTTTTCTGCAGTTTCACTTGTCATTTTGTTGAGCTCCTAAAAAACATAGTTTTCTTTATTCCTCCACAATTTACTCTTAACTTTGGCCAGACTTTAAATTAATTCAGCTGCATCCCAAGAATGTGAACTAAGTTTCCATTTCAGTCATAGAAAACAGATATATGTGGATGTTTATTTCAAGCAAAACCACTTCACTCAATAAACCACAGAACATGAAATCATTAAACTGTTGCAACACTGCAGACAGTACTAACCTATTTTTCAACTGAACTCAATCATACTGTCTTCATGATACATGAAGAATATCAAAGACATTATTAGTAGGTCTTACCATCATGGAAAGAAAAACATTATTTTCTTATGATGTATCTTAAATTTTCAAAAGACTGTGGGGAAAAACTAACCAAAAATATGCAAACCTGAGACAACCAAAAAATGCAGCAAGCATTTTCCCAGAATGATGGTCCTTAGTGTTCCTAAGTGCAAATACTGAAGCAGAGTTATAAACTGCTCCTCACCACCATGCAGAAGTATATTTTTATTACTAAAATTTTAGCAGAAGGGAATTGAAGCACTAGAGAATTATTTGAGAGAACTTGTTGGGAATGATGCTGTAAACTTGGAACCCAAAGAAAATAATTCTCAGTCATTATCCAGATATATAAATGCATGGCTGTGCTACCTTCTGCTTGCACCCAGCAAGAAGAAAAATAGCTTTAATGACCTTTTTCTACTGTCAAACTTGTGCTGATCCCACTGCACTCATTCATATCGTATGACTCCATTCAAATCTCATCATTTTATTCTGATAAGCATCACTTGCTTTTATGTTTGTAATACAAAAAAAAGCACCATGTCCAAGTATATCTCTGGATACTTCACAGGTTGGAACGGTCCAAAGGTTATTATAAGTACACAGACATTATCCTGGATCTTGGGACAAAGCTGATTTTCAACTTTAACTCTTCATTTTGAGCACCATAAAATATAGAGCAAGCTAGTTTACCTTTCTTAGTGGAAAAAATCTGAAATCAGTCAGTTTACAGTCTGCACTGGTGGCTGTAGAGAGACAAGTAGAATTGAGGCAGGAGTGGAATGACTTTCAGGAGGGCATGGATGTTTCAATGAGTATGAGAAGTCTGGGCAAAGCATTGAAAAAGCACACTGATCATGACAGAAAAGTATATAAAAAGGGGATAAGAAAAGTACTAAAACTGGAAAGTAAGAAATTGTGTATTCTTTTAGCTTCCAAAGAAAAAAACTATCACATCTGAGTACACTACAAATATAAAAACATCAAGTTTACAGTTTTTCTGGTAGACAAAACCAGATTCAACTATTTTGTGGCAGTACATAGAATTCAAACAGATTTATGAGAGAGAAAGAGCTATTTAGGGCTATAATGGCAGCAGGAACCAAGTATTACTGAATTATTAATATCTCAAAAATTAGATATTGCTTAAATTATTCTAGAATGATGCAACAGGAATTATGAGATAATGCCTCCATCAGGTATCTTTCCTCAAAATGTACCATAAAAACTAAAATTAAAAAGCTTACAAATCTGCAATTCCATGTACAAGAGATGAGCAACCGCCTTTATAAAGGCAAAAAGTAAAGTTATTATTTTTTATATATTAATTTAAAATTTGGCTATTAAAAACTTTTGCTTTAAATATCTTATGAGCCTAAAAGAATGGGAGAGAAAGTATGCAAAATGAAAAATTACACACCTAAAAAAAACCCTCAAAGATGCTAAAACTTTGGACTTTGCTTGATTTTATATCTTTATGTTGAAAACATGTTGGCACTTATATGGCATCAGTTTTCTCCCATTTGAAAAAGCAGCATTTATAAGTAAAATGCTGTGTGAGGATACTACATTTTGAACTAAATAAAATTGTTTTGAAGGTCCATTAAAATTCTTCCTTCTTCTAAAACAGTCAAAGATATTTTTAAGGGGAGTATAGTTAAAAAAGTAATTTCACATTTCAAAAGTAAAGTAACAAATAACTGCTAAATTTGAGATTATCACACACTTTTCATAACTTTCACACATTTCTTGAAAAGAATAAACTTGACAACTGTGAGCTTTTCAGGGTTTTGATCTAAGCATATACAGAAAAGCCGACAAAAGCTATAAGGGAAAGAAAAGGAGCATCCTTTTGAGCAGAACAGAACAAATGAACCCATATTGTAAGACAGACAGCCTGGTATGCAATTTAGCATAAATAAACAAACACCATGCATATACATTTATAAGTATGAAAATTTAATTCCGAAGTTTAAAAGTTTCCTCAGTAAAGGTAGAATATGTACAAGAATAAAAATATGTAGATACTTATATCTAAAATCTAAAGGAAAGAAATCCTGATAGCTGGCATAATAAAAATCAATTTAGGAGTATCAAATTATAAGAAAAAACTTATTAATGAACTTGAAATGGTTTTTGTGGGTTTTTTTTAACATAGAATATACAGAATGCAGATTTTTAACAGAAGAAACAAAAAAAATGAAGTTCCAACAGAGATGGTGTTAAAATAAAATAAAGCAGTAGTGTAAAAAAAATTGAGGTATCCAAAGCTACACTTATAAAAGATAAAAACAGCATTTTAAAAAAGTATTATTATTTTTCAAGTGTTTCCTCCCCCTAAAAAGCTGATCATAACTCCATCAGACATGTTCAGCTGGTACTTCAGGCTGGTATGGAACCAGAATTTGGAAACCAGACATGCTTCTGCACCAAAAGTAGACTTCTGAAAAGTGATGAAATCCTGGAAGCCTTGATCTCTTTTCATAATAGAGCCACTGAATTGCTCATAAACAAAGGACTGATCTTCCAGATGGTTACCTATAGCATGTATTATACAGAATTCAAGACAGAAAAGAAGATTGCTCCAGCATGAGTCCCCTGTGAGGTCCTGCCAAAAAACTTGCTCCAGCATGGGCTCCTCTGCCCATGGCTTCACAAGTCCTGTCAGGAGCCTGCTTCAGCATGGGCTTCCCACAGAGTCACAGCTTCCTTAAGGCATCCACCTGCTCCAGCATGGGGTCCTCCATGGGCTGCAGGGGGACAGGATAGCCTGCCTCACCATGGTCTTCACCACAGACTGCAGGGGAATCTGCTCCAGCTCCTGGAGCACCTCCTCCCACTCCTTCTTCACTGACCTTGGTGTCTGCAGAGGTGATTTTCTCACATATTCTCACTCCTCTGTCCCATTGCAGTTGCCATTGTGGTTTTTCCTCCTCCTTAAATATGTTATCACAGAGGCACTACCACCGTCACTGATTGGCTTGGCTGTGGCCAGCAGCAGGTCTGTGTTGGAGCCACCTAACAGTGGCTCTATTGGACACAGGGGAAGCTTCTCACAGAAGCCACATCTGTGTTTCTGCTATCACTGCTGCCCAAACTTTGCTACACAAAGCTAATACTGCCTAACAAGAACTTACATCTGAAAGTGTGTCACCAGTGTTCCAATTATATGTCAGGTATGTATTTTTCAATTAGTGGAATAAATGAAACAAAGAATTTCAGAAGCTTTTTCTATAATTTGTACATCTTCAAATAAAAACAGTCCTTATAAGCAACCAGAAAGTTACCTATTGGATGAAATTATATGGCTTACGTTACATAAAAGGTTAGAAGCACACTTCCATTTGTATCTATGTACCTATGAAAATTCATTCTAGCTTGAAATGTCAAAATATATGTTGATAGGTAAAAGCTTCTTACTAAAGAATAAAACTGTTGGGAAGTAAATTATTTTTTGATAACTTCAAATTAATGATAATGGTAGCAGCAGACAAACACAGAAGACACACTTCTGGAAAGTTTTTCGTTTTGTTTTGAAATTAAAATTACTATTTCAAAATTTTGGTGTGGAAATTCATTAATATTTATTTTTACATAACTAAATATATGTCATAAGTAAATAATACATCATTCACCACTGTGAATTTGCCAACAGCAATGAAAAGAAGATAAATCTGATCTAGTCCAAATGGTATCTCAATTATATTTTGATATGATTATCAATTTCATCTTAATAATCAGGTAATAATTATGATGAAAATAAATGTTAAATACTTCATACTTTCTTTAGAGTTAATACCGTGGTGTTAGTTTAGCAAACTAATGCAGTAATTTTTGTGGGCTAAAATCATTAGGCTAATAGCCAAACCAATTTTTTTAAACAAACACCTTGTCCTCTCACATGGTGCTGAACTAAACAGCTTTGTGAAGGAATGAAACATTTTAGTCAATAATAAAGAAAGTGAAATTACTAATCAACTGACATAACTCTAAAATTGGGATAATTTACTTACAATTTAGATTAAAGTAAATATCCATGACTAGTTTAACAACTGGAGCTCATTCATGACACAGTAATTTCTAAGTGTAACTGTTCATTACTGTAGTAATTAGTATATCATATTCTATTAGCTTTCCTGTACAACTTTATTTCTGGAAATGCAAATGTAATTGCTTACCAAGATGGTGGTAACTATTAAAGAACGATTGGACAGGGAATCTGTGATGTTTGCTGGTTTTCCTTTCTGATTCTCTGTCATGTTAAGGCCACTCAATGGATCCCAAGTTCCAACCTATAAAACAATAAATTACTGTGTAAGTACCGTTAGTTACATTTCAGTATCTAGAAAAGAACACTATAAGGAAAACCAGATTGCTATAGGAAAAAAAAAATAGACTACTAATATTTATTATTAAACCCTGTTCCATTATTCTCTGTCATTACATTTGAAGTCTGCTTGTTTAAAATATGAATCAAAATACCTCGAAGTATGTTTTAAGAAGTGAAGTGGAAAAATGATTCACAGAATGTCTAAAGCTACTCTGAATACGTAATTCTCCATTTAACTTTCATTCTTCAAGGTAAACAACATCTAAAGATAACTTAATAGTTAGGTGGAAAATCATTTGCAGAGGAGAAAGCATTGTCTCTATAGAAGGATTTACCATTTTATGTGATCAGAGAGAACAGCAGAGCAAAAAGATGTTTTGGGGGAAATGCAATGGAGAAGATTGAAAGTAGGTTAAGTGTAATAACTTAATTGATTTACAGAGAAATGTTCAGTACATGGCTCTTTTGAAATTTTGTACCATGAAATTCTTATTCCAGAGAAGTCAATAGGATTTTTACCGAAGTAAGGAGGTCCAGGGTTATGCTTTAATGTTCAAGTCGAGGACAGTCTCACATACAAAGTAATAAGTAATGGGGCTTATGATTATATAATTTATCTGCAATTTCATTACTATACAACTAAAATGGTCAAACAGTAAATACAGCTATTCATTTTTAGGCATCAGAATGTTTTCAGTACTCCATTGTCTAAAATATGTTCACAAACATTACTTGTTTTTAGACTTTTTAAATATCATTTCAAATACCAAGCATTATCTATAATAGAAGATAAAGATACTTTAAAACCAAATCTAGACAGTAACTAAAAAATTCCATGAAGTTTGAGTGTGAACATATATATATGTATGTATGTATGTATGTATATACAGATTTATATTTAAACACACAGAATTATTTGATTCTTGAGAAACTGTTCATAGACTTTTAAGTGATTTGTTGCAGCATGGCTGCCAAGTAAGCTCAGGATGTAATTCAATATGGGTTAAATAAAAGAGTTCATTTCTAAATGAATGTATGAGAATACAGCAGAACATTAATCAGTGGAAGATGTAACAAAAAAAGATTAATTTGCTCTTTTTTTTTCTATGATTTTCTGTTCCGCAGATATTTTATCTTTTTTAATTTGAATAACACTTAGTTCCAAGAAGTCACTCTAAATGGCTGTGATTCTTGAATTTTGGTCATTCAGTACCTTATACACTAACAAAAGAATCATGAAGGGAAGAAATGGGAACATGTATGTCTCAGAAATACTATTGGAAAATAACATCTAACACATAATTTCAAAGTATTGAAACCAAAGCTTACTACTCAAAAAGTTTTCTTCACTCACTCTTTTAATACTATTTCATTTGATGACATTTTTAGGAAACCCAAGATATTCAGTCTTGCAATTTGGACTCAATTAAGAAACTGTAGAAGGACTGAGAATTTTTAGTTGCAATATTTTGTTAATTATGGCAATCACAGTGTTTCCTTAACTTTGAAGAAAGAGTAAGCTAGAAGAGAATAACAGAGAGTCCCAAAGATGAGAACTTAAGCCTGTCCCTGCTGATCCTTCACATAATTGAAACTGGACTAATCTCTATGAGATTGAACTTCAGGTACACAAGGCACAAAAATTGTAAGGGAATGGCATCACCTTATTTGATCAATTTCAAATCCTAAATTCATTAAATCATATAACCTATTCAAGTTCAAGTTCGTACTTCAAATTTATCTTGCCAAAAGCTAACACACTGCTAATTTAAATACTTACTCCCCTACTTTTTAACATAGACACAGCCACAAGCAAATGAATAATTATCATGTTAGAACATCCCTCTAGACTTAGAAGAACTACCAACAGCATTACTTTAAAAATAAACTTCCCCTTGATAAATTATCACATTATTTTTCTAAATTAGGCTAATTGTAGTTGTATTGCTACTTTTGTGAATCAAAAATCTAAGAAATGGAGCAAAAGTTGGATGTTCAAAATAAGACATTCTATGCAATATCTTTCTTAATGAGCTCAAACTCAACAACTTATGGCAGAGATACTGATATACTACTGTTACATGCAGCTCCCAAACCACGCAAACATCTTCTCAAAGCTGCTACTTCTAAAGAAAACTGTGCATAAAGAGTGCAGCAAATTAATTAAATTGATTAACAAATTAATTGTTTTCTATTTGCTTAAGCATAGTGTCTTAATTTTAAAGTAGCCTTTAGAATTGTTAATGTGTTTTCACTAGGAAAGTTTAAATGCCAAAGGTTAGAAATCTAAAAAAGCCAATCAAGGTACTCTACTACATATAACTGCATTTCAAACAACATACTTCTACTGCATTACATTTATAACCAACACTTCCAGTTTTCCTAAAAAGTGAAACAAACTGATATTCTAAAATACACCTTTGAGAGAATGTTCATACAATAAATACAGTCACAAGGAGCCTCTCAATCCCATATTTTTCCATTCAAGTCTCCTAAATGGCTAGACTATTCTGGAGTGGGCATATAATATGTGGAGTTTCTGGGAGCGTTCTGACAGAATGCTGCAATATGCTTGCCATTTTCACTAGACTTCTGCAACTGGCTACATTCATATACAGAATACTGGACCAGATGAAACTAGAGATTCTTGTGACATGCACCACAAGAAAAGTTTCCCTTCCACTTTTAGAGAGGTTCACTCTGCGGTTTCCAAATGGTCAATCAATCCTATACCACTTAAACAAAACTCTTAAATAAAACTCTTAAATAATCTTCACAATATTTACTACTCAAAAGCACAATTTCAAATCTAAATCTCACCAGAAGTGTGTAAAAATAGTGTCATTACCAAAGGACAGAATTCAACAAGCACTGAAGAGAAGTTTGGCTAATGTACACACAAATTTAAAACTAATTCGATTCTTTGGGGTTCAAGTATTTTGTACATTCAGTTTCCAAAAAAAGATCAGTACAATTGTGCTTATTTCCAAAAATATTAATTTCACAGTAAAATGCAATTGGCATGATTTGTAAAAAGAAAAGAGTACTTACTAAATAATAAAAATAAGTAAAAATATCAGACCTGGTAAATCAGAATGAATAATACTCCAAATTCTGAACACTGAAAACTACACACAGTTAATACGCACAATATTTTTTAAAAAACTTTAATAGGTTCATATAGTAGAATAATTAGATATAATTATGATAAAATTCATGGACCTTTATCTAGGATGGAGAGTGCTGATTACAGCAATTTTTTGCACAAAATTTACGTAGTTCATCAAGTTAGCAAGGATTTGAAGAAAGCAAGCTACATTGGACTTCAGCTGAAAGTTACTGGTCTCTTCTGGAAATATCAGATGGATTTTTGTGACATTTAGCAATACATTTTATAGGAGAATAAATCTTCTCATACCTTATCAAAATTCTCCTCTTTTTAAGGTTATTGTTCACTAACACAATCCTGTTCTGAGCTGATCCATAAAGTTAAGCATAAATGTAATTTGAAAGGCATGTTCAGGCTTGGCTATTTCTACAGACTGTAGTATAAATTAAGCTTGCATACAAATAAAAAGTTTGGAGGTGAACATATGGACATAACATGGTAAATTTAACAGTATTTGAAGAAGTGGTAGCCGCGTCTTATGCCATTTATTTTCAAAAATACAGCATGATCCTAGTTTGCTTCCTACAGCATGTCTAAAGTGCATGTTTCTTCTTTAAAATAAAAAAGTCATTTGTCATATAGATTACATCAAGAAAATAATAACTTATATTCCAATGGGAGTAATATTAATTCTTCCTATTTATATATTTCCCATTTGGTATTGCTTCATTTATTTTGCTTTCTTCAGAAATATTAATAAGCTTGCCTTCTTTGCAAAGTGTCATGTTAATGAAAATACTTCTGACTTCGATAGATCTGTCATCTCTCTTTTTTTCTCTAACTTTTACAAAACCCTCTGTTTATACAACTCTTTTTTCCCAGGTCATTAATAAAGATACTAAATAAAACAAGCTCTTACATTGATATGCTGGACAATAAATTATGACTCATTTTGTGTCATTTATATTCATCCTGAGTGTAGGTTCTTGAGCAAGATTTCAAGCCAGTTAACATCTTTATTCAAGAAATGTGATTCCTCTTAGGTGATAAATTTTCATATCAAAAATGGTATTAAATTCAGGTATTTGTTATCTCCCCGAAGGATAAAATAATTTTCCTCATGATGCAGCTTCAGCATGAATACTTGATTGATTGTAATTTAAATGATAATTTGCTTATTATACTGGATTGCCACAGTTTGGGATTTTCAGTGTGCTTAACCATAAATATTTTCAGTGTGTCCAGACTGACTGCCAGCAGATTTTGTTTTACATTACATTAGCAGAACTCCAATCATCAATTAATTTTGTAATTTTCATCTTACAAGAAGATATCATTTTTGTCAGACATGAATTATTTGGAAACTCATACTTCTTGATTGATGCTTGATTATCTCCTCATTCAATAGCTTCAGCTACAGGTATCTTATGTAAAATCTGAGATAATCCATGGCATCTTTTTTAAATCAATGAGAAAATGTTTATGTTCTCACTGACTGCAAAAGAGAAAAGAGGTTAAATGAAACAATAGCTATTTATAGTATGGAAATACAACACACATAATATGGCACATATAATTTCTATCTCCCTATCTTCTCTCATCCCACACAATGAATGAGTGAATAAATAAATAGAGCAAAAACATTTAGGAGTTCTAATTACAGACAGAGAAGCTTGACAATATAGTGGTTTGGGAAAAACTTTGGGAACCTACAAGATGAGGACAAAGATGGGGAAAGGCTCCTGAAGAAAGAAGAAAATAGAAAGAAAGGGGATGAAAAGAGCAAAGAGATTAAGAGGGACAAGCGGACAGGGGTTAGATGGACAGTGAAATGGACAGAGAGGGGAAAAGTAAGAGAGGGAGGAAAGGGGGAAGGAAGAGAAGGAGAGAGCAGCAGAAAGCTGAAGAGAAAGAGTGTGATGCAGTGATATGGAGTGCACATGTGAAGGGTTGGATGTAGAGGACAGAGCGGGTCCAAATGTGGGTCTGCCCACAGCTGCGGTTCCCTCAAGCACAAAACTGCTTCAGCCTAAGTTCACAAAGCTTCAATGTGGATCTGCCCACAGCTACAGTTCCCTCACTCATGAACTGCTCCAGTATACACTGCCCATGGAGTCACAGTCTCTTCAGGAGCAGCCACCTTCTCATTTGGATCTCTGATTCAGTGAACTTCCACAAGGCTGCAGGGGGGTCAACCTGCACTCTCACTATGTGTTGCAGGGGGAACCTCAGCTCTGTACCCTCCTCCTTTCCCCTCTCTTTTCTTCCTTCACCGACCCTTTTGACAAGGAGTCACATGGAAAAGACACGGGGTAATGGACACAAGTTGCTTCTGGAGAGATTCTGACTGAACTCCAGAAGAAATTTTTTTACCATGAGATCATCCAGACATTGTGATAATCTCCCAGGGGAAGTGGTAAATTCCCCTACATTGGTCAGTTCTGAGTCAGCTTGACAGGGTGGTGACTCAACTCATTTAAACTATACTTTAACCTTGAGAGGTTGAACTATATGATCCTTGTGGTCCCTATCAACCTGGTATTCTATGATTCTATGACCTTGGTGTCTGCACAGTTGTTTTCCTCACGTCCTTCTCATTTCTCTGCTGCAGAGCCCTTCTGACACTTCTGAAGAGTTTCCGGCTCTCTCTTTTTTGAGCTAGTGCTGCAGCAGAGTTCGAGCTTAAGTTGGGACCAGTCCAGCTGGGGCTGGGGCCATGCCGCCCACACTGGAACCGGGGCTAAAGAGAGGGCACGCTGTGCACTGCACCCATCTTGAATACACAAATTCAGAGGAGCACTGATTGGCTTGGCCCTGGTCAGAGGTAGGTACAACACTGGAGCTAGGGAAGCTTTCTAGTACCTTCTTACAGGATTATCTCCATAGCCTTCCCCTGTTACCAAAAATACCCAAAACCCCTCACAGAAAACCCAATACAACAGGTTTGCCACTAGACAATTTCAAAAATGTTTTTACCTACGTAAGCATTTCAAAGCAAACTCATGGCTTCTGAACATTTTTTAAAATCTCCCTAGTAAGACGAAAATTAAAATTCCACAACCAGTACTGAGGGGAAAATTTTGGAGAAATAAGTTGTTTATGCTAGCTTCTCCATTTAATGAGTTATAGAAGAAAGAAATGCAACTCTGTAGCATAGTGCCTTCCCTTAATTTCTCTTTGTATTTACAACTACAATATTAACTTAACTTGTTCTGAACACTGAACACCACAGATAGATAAAAACTACAAGAAAGATGCAGATTGCAAAACCCTTGTCTCCTGATCACAACAATGTGAGACACTGCAGCTTCTTCAGTTGTTTCTCTATGGCAGGATGGCTGGTGAAGAGAGTGAAGATGATCTTATTTCAGATCAACAAGGTATCACGCAGGTAGGCCAAATATCTGTATGGCCTTTAGTTTAAATAGAGACAGTATTAAGCTACACGGAAAGGGCATTTCTTAATCCTTTGGTCTTTCACTCCATTTCTGCAAGAAAAATTCATGTCAGGAGACAGACAAACATGCCAGGCTACCTATTCTTAATTTTTAGTACCACTTAGAGATAGAAACTTTATATTCCAAGAAGAGAATCAAAGTTTCCTCCTAAAACACAGAAAATTGTCAAAATGAAGCCATTTTTTTTCATTCTGTCTGAGGTAATTCTTCCTGAATTAGTAAGGTGTAAAGAAAATACCGACATGCATGCCCACAGTTTCACACATGAGGATAGGCAATGGGATTGGAATTACAACTAAAATAATCTCAATATAGATTGAATACAAAGTATATTAATGCATGACTCTAGGTCCAGCTGTTCACTCTTCCCCAGTCCTCTTGAATATAGGAAAGTGTCTAGAAGCACACAGTTAAGAGCCCACCGTCAGACATCAAGATAACAGCTTTTACTAGAAGACTTTGAAACTAGATATCAGACTGAGAACAGGTATACTGTTTTACGTAACAGACCAAGTGTTATTGAAAATGTTACTGTTTTTAGGGGGTGGGGTCTTGTTTTGTTTCCCACCACTTTGGAGGTAAGCATCTTACACACCTTTTCAAGACCTTCTTCCTTGAGGCTGATAACGTCTAAATCAAAATCTGTCCTTAAGCCATTGGTTTTGTTGAAAGTTATTCTGCCTGTGAGGCCTTCCCAGTGTGCCTATGGAGAAAGAAAAAACAGTATCTGTAAATAAATACCTCTTCCTTTCTTTGCCCAAAAAGAAAAAAAAAATTACTTCTGCTAAAATGAGAACATTAATTATTCATTTTATCTAAATAATTTACCTTGTGGCTGATTTTTTTTAAGAAATATTTTGTATTTTTTGCTAATCAAAGCAACCTTTCTTCAGTATTCACAGAAAATTGTTTCAGCAACTTTCCACGTTAGACAATAGACTCTTTTTACTAAATGAGGTAAAAGGCTGTTTTGTTTTCATTCCTCCATCATTCATGCCTGCATTTCCCCTTCTGCTTATCAACATGCTCCCCTCTCCACCCCCCCAAGCCTCAATCTCTTTCATTAACATTGGATTTCATTTTTCTGTCACAAAATTTTATTCAAATAAAGGCTTACTTTTGCAAGATGTTGACTACCCTGAAACCACACTGAGACAGCAAAAATTGAGGTCACTGAGCCAGTCTTCCAGAGCTGATCCCTTACTTTTACTAAACTAATTTTTTCATAACTTAAAGTCTACCTATTTCTAAAACTATACTGAAGTAGAGGAGGGAATGTGGAAAACAAAATTATCATCCTAAAAGGAACCAATATTAAAAACAGGACTATATTCAATTGCAAATAGTACTCTTTATCATAGTATTTTGCATATCTAGAATGAGAAATACTATATAAGGAGTTATTTACAGTACAAGAGACTTGAACACTATACAGTGTTCACCTTTAGCACCTTAAATCTCCAAGATTTACTTTAACTCACTATCAGTATCTAAACAGCATACTAGGAGGCTAAGGTGACATTTATTAATTCACCAGAAAAAAATAAAAAAAATAAAACCAGGGAGTAAAATTCATTCTTGGCCCTTTTGAATTTATGTCAGTATTCAGTTGCTGAATTTTTCATATTCAGTCTATGGTTTCAGGTTTCAGAGGTCTGAGTATTTATTTGATGAACATTCCAACTACCCTCCAATTATCTACAAATAAGAGTTTTAATTAGAATTCAGTTATTTCACCCTTTTATGTTTCTTTGTTCCAAATAATACCTCAGGAAAACCCGCTTTTAAATAAAAATGCTGTCTTGCCTGCTAAACTCCTTACACATAACAAGCTGAAAGATTCTCATCTACTGAAAAAAAAGGCAGAATTCAAGTAAAGTGGGAACAAAGGAAAATAAAAGTTGGAAGAAAGGAAAGTAATGAAGCAGGATACTTTATTAGTGACATACCTCTTTAATGAGACTCATAAAGCGGGTCCCAAAGCGCCATGGCTTGTGACGATTACACTGTAGCGAACTGACAGTCATCTGTGGGAACTGCTGGACAGCCACTGACACCACATGAACTGCATCATACATTAGTGCTGCGTCCGTCTGAAATTAGAATGAAATCAGAACCATGAACGCTAAACAAAAACATGTGAAAACCCAGTATTGACAGAAGGAAACTAAAAAATTAACATTGCTTATTGTGTTAAAGGGAGAAAATTATCTGATTGCTTGTGTAGCACCGTAAAATCAGCCTTACTGCCAAGTCCTACATAAGATGCATAAGGAAGTTCAGTCTCAGATTTTCTCTTTTTAATGCTGAAAAAAGAGCCCAAATACCAACTTCTCAGGATCACAGAAGACCAGTGGTATCTCTGATGACTCATGTTATTTTAAAAAGCAGTGCATTAGGGGGCTATATAAACCATGGTATGCATGTTTGATTCACATCAGTTATTTCCACAAGCGAGGTGAAAGAAAAGAAAGGGAATTTATTAGCAAGGTAGCAAAACCTTATCTATGAAGGAAAGTGTACAGGCTAAGGAAATAATGGGTTTTTTTCCTGAAATTACAGACTAGATAGAGTCTCAAAGGTACTCAACTGATTCATTAATAACTTTTTATGGGTATCAGTTTAAATTCCCAAGGACAGATCTGAACAGGTATCATCTATAAATCAGAGGCAAATTAGAATTGCATTAAAATGCACATTCATTTTTATGGTTGTCCTGTCTCACCCTAAATAAATAGGCTTGTTTAGACCTGGTATGTGGTAACTAATGTTGTATTAGCAAAGGACAGAGACAGCTCCTCAGTACACACTGTCACGCTGTACAAGAAACTGCCATCTTTCTCCTGTTCTATTTGATGAACAGAGGCAAGAGAGGTCCTTAGATTCAGCTGGCGGAAATGAATGCTATGCCATCTGCTCAGCATACCTTAGAGAAAAAGGACCTATTTCGCCTTCTCATTCACATAATTAGTGAGCTGTGAAATTAGTTCTTTAATGGATAGAAAACCTGGAGATTATTGCACTTGTCACAATACAATACAATGCAATACAAAATGAGCTTATGTAGTGCCTTTCATGCAAATGCATTCCAAGGCTCTTTACAATAAAACTAAACATAAAAACGCAAAAATGTTCTACCATTATAGTCCATAAGCTACTGTTAAAGCGGAAAATATACGTTTACATTTAAATGGCTCTCCCAAGGAGAGACTTCAAAATTCAAAAAGAAATAAATCCCAATTTTAAAATAGCCAGTATAATAGGTCTCAATGATCTCAGACGTTAAGTAGTTTATGCAGGAGCTCCAAATCATTAAGAAAATATTTTTGCTGCCAAATTGTTCATTATCTTCAAGGCATTTAAGTGCTTTTAAGGCAAGTTGATATTTGACAAGGAGGCAGCGAAACAACAGAAAGTTGGAATAGCATGCTGAGTAAGCATCATACAAAGCTTAATATTCTAAAAGCAGTACTTGGCAGTAGTTGAAGACTAGACAACAGTCTTTTAAATAAATTATACAATAAGTACAACACATTAATCTGGCTCAGAAATGCAAACTTTTTTTTTAATTAGCTTTACTTCTAAAACTGTAGTCCTTGCACCAATGAAGGAAAACTGAAACTGCTGTGAGACTTTAGCAAAAGCAGCCCATTAAGGAGCAAGCAGAAGTTCAAAAACAGCATTAACTGATTAACTAAACATAAATTTGGACACAGAGCTATTAAGACTCTTCATCAGGAATCAAATGGACATTATGCCAGATGCAGAGCAACATGGCTTTTTGTCAAATTCTGCAAGCCACTGAGCTGGAAATCTGTAGGATGACAAGACGTTCCATCCCAGTGGAAGCATTAGAAAAAGCCACTGCAGTTGTAGAATTCAAATTCTGATAATATTCTTCATATTTGACTGGTGAATATTGCTTCACTGGAAATATATCTAAATCAGAATATACTTTTAAATGCACACAACATAATGTAATCACTGGCTAGAAGGTGAATGCCCTAGCTGATCTTTAGATGCTACAAAATAAATCCCTTATTTACATAGGATGAGATTTCATAGTCCACCTTCTATAGGAAGATTAAAGTTAAATGTACACTTAAATGTTTGTACTGTATAAAGACAGAAAGAACCATATACTAAAAAATATATTGATTTAGTGATTCAATATTGCACTCATATCACTGGGTACAATAATTGATTTGCTACAGGAGAAATAAACAGCAGATAACTCAGAAGAAGACATAGAGTACATATTTGAATCTCCAGATTGGGCTTTTCTCTTGTTTGGTCACTTTACCTTTCCTCTGAGAGACAGCAGGAATTGATAGCTGTTGGCCTAGCTCTTCATCTTCATTTATTGGGCTTGCTAAACCTTATGTTTCACTGCACTTTGTTCACACCACTTTCGCTTCCTTAAATCACACTTTTGGAACTATAGTTTGTGGCACAGGAAGTACCAGTTTCAGCAAAAGACTGTTTGTGGACCAGGGAGGACAGGTTCCTAATTAAACTTTTAGGATTTTTTATTTTGTTTAAAGAGAGATTAGCAGTCTGGAAGGAAGAAAATGTAGAAAATTCAGGAGAAGCAATGGCTATTGAATATTAGATAGCAACCTGCTGCAGTGTTTCCATTCACTGAAGCACATGTAATACAAGAAATTAATCATATTGAAAAATGAGATTAGTATTGTTTTAGTCAACTTGTATAAGCCTTTTAAGAATTACAGTGTATTTCACAAAAATATATATTGGTGCAGTTTTTGAACCATCGTTTGTAGGGATTTTTTAGTTTCACAATCCTACTTAGTATTTATGATGACTTGCTTGGACACAGATAAACTCAATTAAAATACTGCTCATGCTATGGTCATTTGTATTTCCACAACTACAAAAGAAAAACAATAATACAGCTAGAGAAGCTACAAATATTTTTAATCAAATTGAAATAGAACGAGACTGAGTTATGTGATTAAGATGTCACATAACAGATGTCTGTGACCACAAGTCTGTTTGATCAGTCACAATGTATCTCAAATAGAGAGAAAATACCAATCTGCATTTGATTTTTATCCCAAATTCAGTTGGAAACTATGTATTTCTTCTAAGTACTGTTCTGTCATTCCTTTATCTCCTGTCTAACTGTGGGTGTTGTGTTTGCCACTTTCTTGTTTCTGTATAATCACTTTTGAGTCTTGGTAAATTACTTGCTAAATATTGTCTAACAAATTGCATGTGAATACTCTGATCTCACTGTGAAAGGTCTCTGGTGGAGCTAGACTGGATACAAAGAAGGTACTAAAAGAGTCTTCTCTATTATGAGAGAGTATTATTTCTCCACAGGCCTCCTCAAAGTAAAAAGTGGTCTTTTTATTCTCCATCCCCAGCCACAACCGAAGATGTCAAAGGCATGCGATAAGCTCTAGTAGATACATGCTGTGATTTTGGTCACACCCTTCTTGTCCTCGTTAATCAGTATTGTACAGAGGGTTTGGGTTTTGGGGTCTTGTAGCTGAAGACTGGATGTTGGCAGAGTAGTGGTTTTCACTGATTTCTAACCTATATAGGCGAAGGTGATGCAGAAGTAGTCCACTATAGACTGGGTCTCCGCCAAGAAGAAATCTTTACCACGTAACGGAATTGACAAACTGCTTCTCTGCCAAGTTTTTCTACTTTTCTTATAACATACAAAAGGTATGTTAGACCCAAATCAGCTGAAAATCCTGAAACCAAATGGGCTGTTCATGCACTGCAGCTACAATCTGAGATCTAGGTCTGAATCTTAAGACCTTCCAAAAAAGTGAAAGAAAGGGCTCGCACTCTGACACACAGATAAAATCCAAGCAAGTCTAACAGAACAGAGGAATCATGGTTTTCATAACCATCTTCAGACTTACAGTACATAGGAGTTCATTGATGTCAACTGATATCCGATTTAACAAATGTGCTAACTGCTTTTGGAATACCTAATTAACTATTAAGGTTAAAAAAAATGTGCACATTCCACATGTAAGGACATTGAATCATGACTTGTGTCCTTATTGGCACAAAAATGTTTTTATGTGACATTTCCATTTACCTTCATCAGACTATACAAGAATTTAATGTACAAATAAACCACTCTTCTCTGGTTCATATCTCAATGCTTTATCTATAAATTGCAAAAATACGTGCTTTATTTTTAGAATATATGAATTTATCACATAATCAAGTTTAACATTAATTTAAGATGAAGGACTGCTGGGCTAATTCTGTTTCTTCATGTGCTAAATTAGAAATAGTGTACCTCTTAAACAGAAAAAAATTGTATTTCAGCTTTTATAATAACAAATTGTAGTCCTCTATAATCTACAATTTAAAAAAAAAAATTAAACTGCTACATAGGCATGATCTGGAAGAACTTTCAATTAATCAAATACTGATGATTAAAACCAGCTTGAAAGCAGGAAAAAACCCTCAGGTTTTCAATTAAATGTTAAATTAAACAAATGTGATTGGTCTTCCCCTTAATTAAATTTATTACTAATAAAAGTCTATGAAGAAATATGGTCTTCTACTTAAAAGGTACTCTGTGAAGTACTTGAAAACACCAAGAAATACTCTACATTGAGTAACATATGAAATAAATCAATGGAAAAAGAGAAGCTTAATAAATAGCTTAATAAATTTACTTTTTGTTCCTTAGTATCCAGTGTGAATCCCAGACAAGAATGAGCATTTTCAGTGACTGTGGGGAACTTTATGTGCAGAAAAGGAGTCAAAGCACAGGGTCAAGTAAGAGTTTAAAAAAGTTTATTCAATTGACTAAATTATCCTCCTGACAATAAAAGAATTACTTTGGTGAAGATTAGACTGCTTAACCATTTGTAAAATGCTTCTATGGTAAGTGTAAGATATTATTAAAGATGACCTCCTCACATGTATGATACATACTTGGTTACCATGATCTCTATTTTGTGTTTGAACTTGACTTTATTCATTCAAGTAATGTTCAGTAAAAGCAAATTAATACCACTTTAAATCTAAAAGAAATAAGGAAAAGGAATATACCTAGAATTTTATGCAAAGACAAATATTTTGCTGAAATTAT